TGGTTTGGCTCAATGGATAGAATTTCAGCCTGCAGACTGAAGGGTCCTGGGTTCAATTCCAACCAAGGGCACATGCCTGGGTTGTGGGCTGGATCCCCAGTGTGGGGCGTGCAGGAGGCAGCCGATCAATGATTCTCATCATTGATGTTTCTGTCTCTCCCTCTCCCTTCCTCTGTGGAATCAATAAAAAATTATATATCTTTTAAGAAAGAGCAGTTAACACTTAATCATTTATGTATATACTTTCCACTTGGATATTATTATTTGCAACAAATGTCGAATCCTAATCTTAGTACCCCCTCCCCCGTCCCACAGGTCAGTGCCTACCTCAGGAATGGTGACCATTTAGGTATTTATAACCTAAGAAAACCAGGGGACAGTTTCCATGCCTCTCACGCCCTCACCAAAGCTACAGCACATGGCAAAGCCAAATGCATAGGGTTAGTAAATTACTATTCGCCTCAACTATCTATTGCTTTCCATGATGAATTAGGAACGATGAGCCTTCAGGATGTCTGAGGTATGAGCTGTTCATCCCAGCTATGTCTCCAAAGGGCTGGGCCGTGAGTGTTCCCATGCTCCCACTCACAAAGCGAGGAAACCAATCTCTCGCCTCCTCTGCCTTCCAAGCAGTTCCGTCAAAAAGTAAGAACTCTCAATGCGTTAGAGCCCCGCGTGAATGTATGGCATCTGCAGCTTTAGTCTGGGGAGTAATCGGCTTAATGTATTGATCTGAGACATTTTCCCCATCCCCTTCATCACAGGCACGCACATCCACCCACAACAAAAGCCACGGAACAATCATCTCAACCTGGTTTGATCAGCTGTGGAATCGTTTATGTCATCACTATACAAATTCACGTGGGACAGTGAGACTCTTCCGAATCTCCACACTTCGTTGGGTATGCAGATTTTATTTTTAAGTTTCTATTTCTAGGATGGCTTCCTGTGACATCTCTGCACAGTGGCCCAAAGAGGAGAGGGCAGGGGTGTTGCCATGACGTTAACAAGAATTCCCAGCCCACGTGGGAACTCTTGTGGGACTTAGCACAGTATTTCACACGCTGGTGTTTTTTCTTTTCATTTTCTTCCTTTTTTCTTAAAAGATGATAAAATACTACAGAGATACGTTTGAAATTCACACCTGAGTTAAACATTTTGCTGGAAAATTCCGCAGTAAGGAGAGAATATAATGAAAAAAACAACAACAAAAAAAAAACCAGGAGAAGGCTCTATACAGGCATTTTGATAGCATCATTGTTCTTCCTTCTGCAGCCGGGAGACGGAGGGAGGCTGAGCTGAGGGCAGGTGAGAGGGACAAGCTCCTGGCTTGGTGACAGGTGTAGCTGGCAGGGAGCCTCGGGGAGCAGAGAAATGCCCCGACGGAGGGACTTGTCCTTCTCTAAAGAGGAGGGAACTTCGAGAACAAAAGCATGAGTGGGTTTGGTCCTATGCAAGGGGGCAGGGCCACGGAGAACACCGGGTGAAAGAAGATTCAGTCAGAAAAAGCTGCTGAGCAGAGGAAACGGTGAGGCTTTGCCAGAGGCGGCAGATTCACAGCTCCTCCTGGGTTTCAGAAGGAGCTCAGAGCAGGCACCCTGCTGGCTGGCACCCATCGTGGCTGTCCCCAGAGCTGTCACCCTGCTGGCTGGCACCCAGCGTGGCTGTCCCCAGAGCTGTCACCCTGCTGGCTGGCACCCAGCGTGGCTGTCCCCAGAGCTGTCACCCTGCTGGCTGGCACCCAGCGTGGCTGTCCCCAGAGCTGTCACCCTGCTGGCTGGCACCCAGCGTGGCTGGGCTGTCCCCAGAGCTGGAGCCCTGCTGGCTGGCACCCAGCGTGCTGTCCCCGGAAGAGGCAGAGATCAAAGGCGAGATGTCCTTTCCCGGAAAGGCCTGGGCAGCGATGCTGCCTGAAACAGAACTAGCGACGGGCCGGGCAGGAAGGCCAGCTCCGGGACGGACATGTTTCCAGGGCATGGGGGCCCCACGCGAGCCAATCGCGGTTTAGGCCTCCGAGGCCTTGTCTGGAGAAGGCAAGCTCAGGCTCGTGGTGGTGGTGCCTTCCGCTCGCTTGGGAGCATCTGGGGGGCGGAGCCGCTGCTCAGTGCAGGTAGGTGGGGTGATTCCATCGGTACCAGGGCCTGGGGGGAGAGAGCAAGCCCAGTGCCAGCAGCAGGGTAGGAAGGCGGGAAGGCGGGACGGTGGGTCAGTGGGATGGTGGGATGGTGGGATGGTGGGATGGTGGGAAGGTGGGCTGGGCTTCCTGCTGGGGGCCGGGGTCCTGGAGCTGACAGTGCATGCACTAGCCCACAGCCACCGCCCCACAAGGACAAGCTTGGTGGTGTAGGAACTGGGTCTCACAACCATTTTCCAGGTGGACTTTAGGGTTCTCTCACTTTTTAGGTGGCTGCAGTGCAGTCATTGGCCGGTGAGAGCTGGCCACCTTCCTGAGCTGCGGATCTTGAACCTGGGGTTCATCTCTTTGCACAGCCAGGCCTCTGCCCTCTCACCTCCCACTGTCTCCTGGGTTCTGGGTCAGGGACACCCCCCCCCCCGGCTCTAAGAACACTCTTCAGAAGAGATTCTTTGACCCAAGAGGCTATTTCCCTCACGTGCACCCTAACTTTAGGCTCTCGCTGTGTCAGCCACGTGGGAAACTCGGGCTACTGGCAAGAAGTGGGAACTCCTACGCAAGGGAGGGCCTGGCCTTCCGACAGGAGGTCTGGAACTGCCTCCCTTCCCAGGGCGGAGGGAGGGGAGCTCCTGCCCAGAATGCTCAGCAGCTGAGCCCCTCTTAGGACCCTGCTCCCTTGGGCCAGGCCCAGTGGGGCTCTGCGCTCTGGCCCCTCCCGCCATCCTATCCCCCGTCTGACCCGTGATCACATTCTTTTCCAAGGCTCTGACCGCACCCCTCACATGCTCCTGGCCCAGCCGCATGCCGGCCTTACCCTGAAGCGCCAAGGCTGGAGGAGTTGGCCACTGTCTTGGTGTTGTGTTGAGAAGAAGTGGGGAGGCCTGCGCTGGGCGAGGAGGGCCTGCTGCTGCTCCCTGGGGAACAGGACGAGGTCACTGAGGATGAGGAGAGACAAACACAGGGGGTGATGTGGCTGGTCCTGCGGGGACCCCGAAGGGCTCTCACCCTCTCCCTGCCCCGTGCATCCACCCAGCCCTGCCATCTTGGCATGAGCGCCCAGACCCGGGAGGTCCCTGCCAGTGCTCTCCTCAAACCAGGCCCTGAGGAGTCGCATGCACGGCTGGTTCTGTACGTCCTAGACTCATGGACACAAGCAGGGCGGAGGCCAGAGCCATCCCCATGCAGGGAAAGCCTGGGGCGGGGGACATGGCTGCCCCAGCACCAGAGGTGAGAGGGAAAGAACAGGAACCTACAGGAAGGAAGAGGAGGGGGAGGGAAGCAGGGAGCAGGGGAGGAAGAGAGCCGAGAGCCCAGTCTGAGATCGCCAGCCTCCGGTGCTCCCATCGCCATAAACAAAAGGTCCATGGTCTTTGAGAAAAGCCCAACAGGGAGAGAGGGGAGCAGGCAGTCCCTGTGGTGGGCGACTGGCCTGGCGGCCCTCACACTCCTGTGTCCTCCGTCCAATGGCAGATTTGGGTTAAACTGGGCTCTTGCATTTGAGTTTTCCAAACAGCATCCCATGGATGAGGTGACACATATCTCACCACCCAAACGAGGGCTTTGAAGAGTGGCAAGAAGCACTGTTGATAGTTATGGCGCATCCCGACCCATGGCCACCCTACTTCGCTTTCTGAAACGCTACAGGCACTTGCTGAAAAGCAGGCTCTGTGGAGCGTTGGTTTGGAAAACCCTGCCTGCCTCCAGCTTCCCACACGGCTCCGGTAGGAATGTACGATGCACACGAGTGCTGAGAAGCACTGCGAGCAAAACAGCATGAGCTCAGCGTCCCACCAGCTTACCTGGTGAGGGCCCCCCTCCGCCTAGGCTGCATCCCTTAGGAGTTCTGACTTGGGCCAGTGCCTTTCGGTGCTAACATGGCGTTATTTAGAGGAATTCTGGCGCCACTCAGAAGCTGCATTTCAGAGCTCACCTGTTCCAGGCATGGTGCTGTGGACGGGAGGGATGGAGAGGGGGCCCAGAGACCCGGAAGGAGAGACCTGAAAGGCGACACAAGCGTGTAAATGTCCATGTCCTTCCCTGCTCCCACCCGGTGCTCCCCCAGCATGCTGGGGTCCAGGTTGCAGAGACCAGGTCTTTGCTTTCTTGCCCATTTCCCAGTCCAAACCCACATTCTGTCCCATTTCAGGGACCCTGCCCACCTGCGGTGTGAGCCCGGAAGCTTCCTGGGCACCACCGGACCCCAGCTGTGCTCGAGGCTCACAATGGAGGGCACCCCCATCGGCCCCACTGCTTCATGCTTCTGCTCAGGGGCCTCACCGCCTGCCTCAGGCTGCCCAGTGTGGACCCTCCAGAGGTCACCGGAGGAGCTGGACTTTGGTCTCTGAACCTTTTAATTTTGCCCTGGAGACTCACAGCATCACCAGTGCTGGGCTTTGGCAGGGACGAAAGATATAGTCTACCCTCCCACACAACTCAGGAGCCCTCCCCCCACACGGCTCTCCCAGCACCTGGAACAGGATGGAATCGGTAGAATGGGCTTTGGAGCCCAGCAGATGCGGGAGAAGACCTGGCTCCTCCATCGACTGTCCGTGTGACTCTGGGCCAGTTACTTAACCCACTAGGAATTGGTGGCAGCAGCAACCCTCCCTCACAGTTTCTTTCCATTAACATTTAGTGTGATCATGTCCATGAAACTCCCAACTCAGCACCTGGCAGAGAGTGAGCCTAGTTATGCGTCAGCCCTTCCTTCCTGAGGGAGCTGGCAGCTGTCATGTCTCTAGCCTAGTGGGTCCCAGCATGGGGCACATGCCCCACATGGGGCCATTTGACTTTTAAGGGGGGCATTTCTAGAATGAGTTATTAACAGTGAATTTTTTGCATTTCTAATGGTTCTAAGGGGCCTCATATCCTATATAATAAAGAGGTAATATGCAAATTAAGCCTCACACCATCATGTCATCACAAGATGGCTATACCCACAGTGGAGGTGGAGTTCCCATAACAAGCTGTAATGAGCGATCAGCAGGACCTGAGACTGCACCCCCTGCCTGGCGGGGCTTGACAGGGGACCTCAGGCCGCACCCTCCCCCCAGGCCAGGGGACCTGAGGCTGTGCCCCCTGCCCAGCAGGGCTGACAGGGGTGGGGCCAGCTGGGTCTGGCCATGCCCACCAGCCAATCAGAGTGACTGTATGCAAATTAACCCAACCAAGATGGCAGCTGGCAGCCACAGAGCTGGCGCAAGCAGGAGGCTTGGTTGCCCCAGTGATGGAGGAAGCCAAGCTTCCCGGCTGGCTGCTGGCTCCTCTCAAGGCAACAAAGTTTCAATTATAGAAGGTAAATAAACCCCAGATACCTGCTTCCCATCAACCATGGCCACAGAGCTGGAGTGAATAAAAAACAAAAGGAAAGGCTGGGAGCTTCAGTTACTGGGGGGCTTGGTCAGTCTGAAAACAGCCATCAGCCCCTCACCCAGGCTGGCCAGGCACCCCAGTGGGACCCCCACCCTGATCCAGGACACCTTTCAGGGCAAACCAGTCGGTCCCCACCCGTGCACCAGGCCTCTATTCTATATAATAAAAGGGTAATATGCAAATTGACCCTAACAGCAGAACAACTGGGAATGACTGGTCACTATGAGACACACTGACGGGGGCAGATGCTCAATGCAGGAGCTGCCCCCTGGTGGTCAGTGTGCTCCCACAGGGGGAGCTCTGCTCAGCCACAAGCTAGGCTGATGGCTGCCAGCACAGCGGTGGTGGCAGGAGCCTCTCCTGCCTCCTCAGCAGTGCTAAGGATATCCGACTGCAGCTTATGTCTGCTCCCTGCTGGTAAGTGGACATCCCCCGAGGGCTGCCGGGCTACCAGAGGGATGTCTGACTGCTTGGGCCCAGTACCCCGGGGAGTGGGCCTAAACCAGCAGGTGGACATCCTCTGAGGGGTCCCAGACTGCGAGAGGGCATGGGCTGGGCTGAGGGACCCCCCCCCTTGCCGAGTGCACAAATTTTTGTGCACCCGGCCTCTAGTACAGTATATAAATGTATATTGTCACCTACTTATGCATTTCAGTTCTCTATTATATGTTTTGAAACTTTATTTGCTATTTTTTCCTATCACTTCATATTACTATTATTACTAGTAGCCCTGCGCAAGAATCCATGTGCCAGTAGCTCTCTGTGGGGCCTGGCCACTCCACACCTGCTGCCCAGAGGCTCTCCATGGCCCAGAGGCCCATCTGCAGCTGGTGGAACACTTGCCTCATCGCTTTGGTGGCGAAGCAAGCATTCTGCCAGGCTGCTCACACTACCCATTCTCAGCGGCTGCCCCCCTGGGACTGGGGGACTCCAGTGGGGCTGAGAGGACTGGGCACCGCTATCTTGTGGCTATGGGTGCCGCACCTTTGGGATCGAGTGATGGTTAATTTGCATGTTACCCTTTTATTAGATAGGATTTTTAAAAACAATTTCTTAGTGATTTCTTCCTCACTACTTCACCTGTCCTTTCATTCTTTTATTTTTCTCTTTCATGGATGCCATGTTCTTTGGAAGCTTGTTTAGACCAAGTTCATGGCCATTTAGGCTTCCTCCACATGAATAGTTCACTTTTTGAATGATGAGAATTCACACCCGGATCCAGGACACCTTTCAGGGCAAACCAGTCGGCCCCCACCCGTGCACCAGGCCTCTATTCTATATAACCAGGGGGCATCAGGTTCTGGAGATGCTCAGGTGGGGCATGGCCAAAGAAGGTTGGGAACCACTGCTCTAGACGCTGTTTTCCTCTTCAGTGAACAGAGGTCTTCATACCCCGCCCCCATTCTCCTCACGCTGACAGGGGAGCTCTGATGATGCTTTTTAAAGATTTGAAAGAAAGTTCTGCTCAGGGAGCTGCATTTGAAACTCCTCCTCTGACCCCCAGTGGAAACACCCATTCCAGCAGGAGGCAGAGCACGCTCTCTTCCTAATGGGCCAGCACTGGTTCTGCTCCTTGCGTTGGCTGCCTTTGCACAGCAAGCCTCCTCAGTCCGCGGGGCCCCACAGGGGTGGGTGCAGGTACAGCACGGGTCAGCCAGGCAAGATGTGTTATCAGGAATCTCTCTTCTCCTCCCTCCCTGCTGCCAAGCCCAACAATCTCATTGTTATTAAATAAACAATGCATTCAGTCACTGTGAGCAGCTTCTAAGAAGTTTCCTTTTGGAGACAGCTCACACATGTGCAAGTAGACGTATATATGCTTTCCCTTTCAATGTTAAAATTTTAAAATCTTTATTGTTGAGGGTGTTGCGATGCCCCCATTGCCCTTTCCATCTGGCTCCCTCCTCGCCAACGATCTTCACTGCACTATTGTCTGTGTCCACAGACCGTGCAAATACGCATATAAGTTCTTACGTTAATCTCTGACCACTGTTCCCTCCCCCTTTCCTCTGAGATCTGTGAGTCTGCTCCATGCACCCACGCCTCTGGAGCTATTCTGTTCCTTAGATTCCACATGTGAGTGAGATCATGTGACCCTTGTCCTTCTCTGATGGGCTTACTTCACTCAGCATCATGCTCTCCAGGCCCCTCCATGCGGCCTCAAAGGGTAAGACCCTTCTTTTTTGCAGCTGAAAATGGTAGCATTCTGCCCACACTGGTCTGTACCATTCTGCCTTTTTTTTTCTGAACTGTATATCTTGGAGATCATTTCATATCAGAGGCGGAGAAACTATGTCCTAATCCCAAAGAGACTGTCCTAATGGGGCCCAAGGAAGACAGAGTCAGACACTTCTCTCTCTGCTTTCTTCAGAACCCACAAGCATTAATGCAAACATCTGTTCGGTGTCTCCCTCCCCCCTAGGCTGTCGCTCACGAGGGCAGGGTCCTCCTGTGCGTGTCCTCAGTGTCTGTGCGGTGCTTGCAGGTGCTCGGCAGGAATGTGCTGGATGAAGGGTGAGAATAACTCAGGCTCTGCCCGCTGGCATGACTCAGAGCTGGAGCGTCAACCTACGAACCAGGAGGTCACGGTTCGATTCCCAGTCAGGCACATGTCCAGGTTGCAGGCTCAATCCCAGTAGGGGGTGTGCAGGAGGCAGCTGATCAATGATTCTCTCTCATCATTGATGTTTCTGTCTCTCTCCTTCTCCCTTCCTCTCAGAAATCAATAAAAATATTTGAGAGAGAGAGAGAGTGTGAGTCACGCTCCTTCACGCTCCTCCATGCCACCACCGCTCTGCTCCGTGACCGTGTCCTTGGCTGGGATTGAACCAAAGTGAGCACCTGTCCCATCTGCTCTAAACAGAGCACCATCTGGACCGGTCCAATGCTGCTGTGACGTGGCCCAGGCTCCTTAACAAGGCCGACCACACCCTACAGCCCCTGCCTTGGCCACATTCTCTCACTCCCTGCGCCCAACCCTCTCCAGCCTTCCCTCCTTCCTCTCTCCACACCCCAGTCTCAGGGCCACTGCGCAGTTTCCTCTGCCTGTACCCTCTCCTCCCTGTCCTCCCAGCTCGCACCTTTCCCCCATTAACGTCCCCTCATTCTCTGCTGTCAGTGTGAACATCCTTCCTCAGAGAAGCTCTGACTCCTGCACTAGGTTAGGGCTCTCCAATGCCCACGTCTTCTCTGCAGGCTTCAGCACAGGCTTCATGGCGGCTTTCCCTGCTGGCCGTGAGCAGCTCGCAGAGGTCCTGCGGCCACTGTATCCCGAGGCCAAGCATGCGGGGTCCTCAGGAAATGCGTAAGAAAGGAATGATGACTGAAAGCCACAAGGCTTCCAACTTAAAATTTTAATGGACTCTCGTAGTTTTTAGAGTATTTTGGTATCAAGGCTCGTCATGATCTGGCCCTCGTCAATCTCTCTGACTTAGTCCCAAACCCTTTGCTCCAACCAGACTGAAATGCGTGTGTTTCCCCAAAGATATTATTGGAATTCCATGCCTCCTCTCAGACTGCCCTTCTGCCCGCCATGCTTTTCTGCGTGCTAACTCCTAATCCGCTCTTCAAATAAACAGCGTGTGGGTCCTCTCGGACCTCACTGGTTTGTGTTTATCAGTGTTCCGTAGCCCACAGGGCTCCTCACCTCCCTTTCACTTCCCCTGCACCCATCTCACCTCGATTCCT